TGCGACAAGTCATCAAATATTTATTAAACTTTTCATTTAATGTGAAATGAAATATGCAATTCGAATGCATTTCTCTTTATATGATGACTATAGTCAAACATCAATAAAAAATATTATTTTCTTTCAAATATATACATACTATAAATATAGGAAGTTTAACTTAAAATTTTAAGTTTGCCTAGACACATTTTAAATTTGACTGACCTTTAAGTTTGCCTACAACATATATGTTACAAAAAATTTGAGCTTGACTCCAGAATGTATCTGTAAATGTGAGATATTGTACATGGAAGTATTGTTCACTTGTTAAGAAAGATCTTGTGTGAATGCTAATGAGTCTACTGCGCAGTGAGCACACAATGAGCATTCATATGTCTTATGAGGAAGGATATCGAAAGGTAACATTGCACTAAAGGCATGACGTAGGATAAATTTTCTATATTTATAGTTATTGATGGCTGACTATAGTCGTTATGTAAAGAGAGATGCTTTCGAATTGCACATTTCATGTCACATTAAGGGAACTTTCGTACTTCCAAGATTCCGCTGCTATTTTTCGAGCTAGAAATTTCGGATTGGTTTCAAAACATAGAGAAATGTTTTTTCTATGTCATGACATCCATGAATTAAATTTTAGTTTAGTTTTGGAGAAATTTAAAAAGTTTTCGAACAGTAAACAAAATCTCTCTAACTTGTCGAAAACTTTTAAATTTCTCCTAAACTAAACTAAACTTGAATAGTCCAACGACATCAGGAAAAACCATTTCTCTATTTTTTGAAACCAATCCGCAATTTCTAGCTCGAAAAATGACGGATATCTTGGAAGTACGAAACGCTATAGTCGTTAAAAGAGATTTTGAGAAAAACGTGAAACAAGTTTACGGAATGGAAACCGAAGAAGGAAAGAAATATAATAATAGTTCACCATAGGTTTTTGCGTATACTAAGTCCAATGAACGTATGCGGAGACATGTGCGACGTGTATTTTTGCATATGCAGTGATATTTCAATAAAATACTATTTTTTTAGAATCGAAGGCTTTCAGAAAACCAGCTAGAAAACCATCAAAAGCCATTTGTCAAAGCATAAAAACTAGTGCATTGGAAGAGGACTCTTCAACCATATTTAAATCTCAAAATCAATTTTTTGGACGAGCTTACCTTTATATTTGTACTACACCTGTGTAGAATATTCATGTCATTCTGTTTTCTTTTGAAGAGAGATTAAATTATCTATTTTATTTCACGTGTGAAGGCCAACTGGCGTTGGATGAAGTCGTTTTATCCTGTTGGTCCTTCCGCTACTTTTCAAGGTATAATCTCTTGCGCTTACTATGAAAATCCTTCATTAGGCTTCTCTCCTTACGTTACCACTCTCTAGAAATAACATTCTGGGCGACCACAAGGCAAAAACTGGAAAAATCGCTTTTTCGCAAACATGCTTTTTTTGAATATTTTGGATCTAGAAATCGCGAGTTCAGCTTGACCAAAAAATAAATTATATTATTTTGTATAGTTGATAATTGTTCATCGATTGATATGTAAAAGGAAATTTTGAATCGCTAGGAGGATGTTTTTTAGAGAGATGCAAGTATTATTTCTTCAATTTTTTTTCGATACTTCGACATGCACCAATATCAAATTCATAATCTGCGTATGATTTCCCGTATGAAACTGACTCTAGAAATATTATTTAGAGTCTGATTCTATATCGTATGGCCAAAGCAAAAATCCATAATCAACTAATTTTGTAACAAATTTTGCAAGCCTATTTAGCTTTTCTGTTAACGGACGGAGCCGTGATTTACACCGCATTCGATCCGTCTTTACACGGACAAAAAAAGCATGCAGAGCTTTTCTTAAAATTCCGTTCCACTGCCGAGAAAATTCATCTTTTCTGAATGAGACGCGAAAAATTTGCAATTGTGCCCATAATTCTCAATTTCTTTATTAGAACTCAAGTTTTACACAACAAAAGTATCATATTCGAAATCATAATCAAAAGCTGAGTCGAATGACGTGTATTTCGAAACGTTTAGCTGATTTTCATTTTTTGGAGAAAAATCTCGATAGTTTTACAAAGCGAAAATTCGACAAAAAAATTAAAGTAGTCAAATAGGATTGAAATGCACATCATTCGACTCAGCTTTTGATTCTGATTTCGAATATGATATTTTTATTGCATAAAACTTGAGTTCTAATAAAGAAACTGAGAATTATGGGCATAATTGCAAATTTTTCGCGTCTCATTCAGAAAAGATGAATTGTCTCAGCAGTGGAATGGAATTTTAACAAAAGCTCTGCATGCCTTTTTTGTCCGTGTAAAGACCGATCGAATGCGGTGTAAATCACGGCTCCATCCGTTAATTTTGTCACTTGATTCTCAACGTTTTTTAGAATCAGTAAGTTCAGAGAAGTTAAAATATCTGTTAAGTGAGCACGAGATAAGATTGGAGTAAGATCTAAATAATACTCACCAAATGAACAGATGCTGTTCGACCTTATCGTCTTTGTACCAATTAAAACACAAAACGCAGAACGGTTTAAATTTCTTAAAGTGAGTATGTTCATTGCTTCCCCAGTTTAGAATAAGTGTTAATGATGGGCGTTTTGGAAAAGTAACGAACTATAGCTTTATAAAAAAAAAGTGCAAATACCAGCTTTCCTCTCTGTGCTCAGGCCTTGAAACAAGTAGTTATATCGCAAAAGCTAGTTAATTTCTTTTGAGAGCAGATTATTTCTCCATGAATAGAACCATAGAGTTATAGAGTAGTCATCGTTACTTTTTTCCAGAACAGCTGAAAAATCCTCAAGGAACTTATATATGGACTTTTTGAAACTCGCCGAGCATTTTCTATAAATAATTCCCGACATTGGTGTAAAAAGTAACAAAGTTATAATAATAGGACTTTTCAATTTTTCAAAATTCAGAAAATTCTCATTGTTTGAAAAAACTACGCTTTTCAGTAAAACATCTCAAAAATATCATGTATCCAGTTCATGATATTTGTCTGACTTTAGAAGTGCATGGTAGGGACGATCTCACAGTTTATGGATATTCTTTGCAAAAAGACAGCCTTTTACTAGAATTTAGCATTGTTAAAGACGTATCGCATACCTTACCTTGTTTAGAAGCGCTGATTCTGATCGATTACTGGTGCTTGAGAAAGGAACTAAACAGCGTCTGTATTTTTGTCCCTTTCTGAACAGTAAAAGGAATAAAGAAAGAAAAGGGATTATATGAATACACAACTATCGAGCAGAATAATCCGTGTACCAGAGAGTGCTCTCTAAAAAAAAAGGTTTATTACGAAACTTAAAAGACTGTAGAGAAGTGCAACCATTTCTAAACCCTTTTAGGTTTCGTAGAAGACATGGTGTAGTACGAAACCGTTTAAGTGCATAAATTCTAGCAGTTTTTTTTCTAAAAATCTCTTTTTCTGAGCAAGTGGACCATTTCAGCAGCTTAGGCGTGTTTTCATTGTATAGGGCGGCGGAAACTGAGCCAAAGAAATACCTGAAACCTCTATAATTTTTGATTTTTCGAGAAAAAATCATGGGGAAAAAACATAACGAAATAAGCAAATGTGCTGATCAATCGTTTCAATGCACTTAAAACGGTTTCGTACTGTACCTTGTCTTCTACGAAACCTAAAAGGGTTTAGAAATCATTGCACTTCTCTATACCCTTTTAAGTTTCGTAATAAACCTTTTTTTTTAGAGAGTGATAACGTAAGGGGAGAAGCCTAATGAAGGATTTTCATAGTAAGCGCAAGAGATTATATCTTGAAAAGTAGCGGAAGGACCAACAGGATAAAACGACTTCATCCAACGCCAGTTGGCCTTCACACGTGAAATAAAATAGATAATTTAATCTCTCTTCAAAAGAAAACAGAATGACATGAATATTCTACACAGGTGTAGTACAAATATAAAGGTAAGCTCGAAAACGTTTTACTATTTTCTAGAATATAAAGAAAGTTCTAAACAAAACTTGACGAATCAGACCTATTATAAATCCCAGCGTTATGTAAACTATTTATATAAGAAAAATTTCAGCTCCTAAAATTCTAATTTTTTTTGTTTTGTTCGTAGCGATAAAGGATTTGTTAGACTGAAACTAGAAAATGTATCGTTATCTCATACTGGTGTTTAGTCTCCTACAATTAAGTGAGTGCGCTTCAGATTATGCAGGTTTATCTCTGTATCCAGATTTGTTTGGTGTATGTTTTATTGTTATTGTAGCATCGTTAGCAGCTGCCACGAGAAAGCATTCTTACCTGAAGGGCATTATCACTAACCATAACGGCTTCATTACATTGTTACCTGATGGTTCCAGGATTCACGTGGAATTAGAAGACGAATTAACAAATACGATTATCTCGAAAAAAGTGATAAATGCCACGAAATTTCCGATAAAATTTCGGTTAAAATATCCAATCCAATCAGTTCAAGAATATCACAGCTACCGTCTGACTATAGCAATAAAAAATAAATATGACCGTACAATTTACATGAATGAGCTATACACACCAATTATCATGCATGGAGCAAATAGAACAAGTAAAGTTACTATCAATGTGACGTGGAGTAAGTACTACACTCAGTTGTGCGACAAGAGAAAATTTCGAAATTTAAGAAAAAGTCGTACTGCCTACCCTTAAGGTTGCAAAACCTTTGCATTCCCAAGCATGAAATAAACATCTATTATCGCACGATTAACCTAGATTACTAGATTTATACTCGATTGCAATTATTTAGTAACGACGGTGAAAATCTAGTAATCGGGCGATTGCTAGAGTTCTCCTCAATGCAGCTATCGATTTATCACTCGAGTTAACGATTGCTAGTTGTACATGCAAACGCATCTAGTTAAAAGTTCCTTTTCCAACTAGTAATCTAGATGACAACTAGTCGTGTATCGCCCGATTACAGACAAAATGTATCTAGATTTTTCCCATAGGTGATAATTTTAAGAAATATTTGTGCTCTCTTTCAGCGATGACTTGGTATTCATCTGGAAATACTAATTATGAACTTGTAACGAATTTACATTCCAATGGATTAATAACGGATGATAGAGTTGAAAAAGCAATGTTACAAACTGATCGTGGTGATTTTGTTCTTGATAGAAAGTTTGCTTACATTGATGCACCACTAGATATCGGTTATTCGGTGAGTTATTGTAATTGTATAAGATTGTACTTTTTTTTAAGAGTGAGTGTAAGTTTGTAGTGAGGTACGAAGATACTTTGTGAGAATGAAGAAGTTAAAAATACTTTCTCTGCCTCCTCGGAGCAGCATGTCTTTGCGGTGTAATAAATGCGCACAGTTTAGGACAGCCTCAATTTAGCACAAGCTTTCCACTCATTCTTTCATCCATATTTTGCCCATAATATTGGCAAAAAGATGCATAAATGTGTCTGAAAGGACGAGGGCACTTAAGAAACATTTTGGTCCATTCGGTTTTTTCAACACATATGCCCTTGTTTGAACAGGAGATGAGTATTTCCAGTAGTACTATTTCCAATAATTTCCAACCAAAATAACTGAATCGATCTTAAAGAGCACATTTTTTTTCTCCTACCAGATTTGCCGTTCTGTCATACGCAGGTATTTCGAGTTTAGTTTCGTCATTATTTTTTTGTATGACCATACCAGAGTTGTAACCGATCCGGCCGGACCGGACCGGTTGAGTGAACTGGACCGGCCGGTTTTACCGATTTCACAAAGTTGTGCATATTCGTTCATTTTTCATCAGAAAGATACCATGTATGGGTGCTTAGTAGTTTTTTTAAAGGAAAGAGAGAGTGGCAATTTTATTTGAAATGTAAATTTTTTCTTTTTATTCTTTCCATTTGTTTTCTTTTCTTTTTTTTTTACCATTCATTTTTGATCTTACCATTCATTTGACTTTATTACTTCTATATATAGTATGCATAAAAGTATGCACAAGAAAATGTGTGTATACATTGTATACATACATTTTCTCGCACAAATTTGAACGAAATAACAAAAGAAATGGAAATTAAATACCGGCTTTTGTGGGAAGGAACCTTATCCCATGCAGAAGAAACCCAATCTTGAAAATATTAGTTGGTTTTTTTGGTATTAGAATTCCAGTATAAGCATTACAGAAAAGACAGGCGTTAAAATCTGTAGGTATTCAGAACAAAAGTTTGTCCCTAATATCAAAGTTATTACTTGAAAAAACTTGATGAACTCGCCGGTTTTTACCGGTCTGAAATATTTTTAGACCGGCCGGTGACTGACCGGACCGGACCGGTCTAGTATTTCCAGACCGGTTACAACTCTGGACCATACATCTACAGCCAATGAAAATTGCTTCATAAGCAAAATCTGTAGTATTCCCTAAATTTTCCTTTAAGGACTTAGAAGTCAGGATTCAGCTGAAGCTTTGCGTAAATATTCTTCTATGTATATGACATTTCACAAAAATGCAAGCTTTTTTTACATTATACTAGAGGTTTCCTGCATAAATTCCTTTTACGAAACGTTTTTTGTTTAAGATAAATGTGATATTCGTAGCCAGCATTAAAACTTCCATTGAACGATGTAGTTCTTTCTGAGAAACCTTTTCTCTATCAAAAACTTGCGCCTGGAAACTCCCTCAGATCTTTTTGGTAAAAAATGCTTAATAAAAAATGATCTTTCCGCTGCAGGGAATAAATCGGACTAACTCAAACCAGCCTGTCTAAGGTGGAAACGGTAGCCTTAAGGTGGAGTATTCTGTCTCTACTTCTCCAAAGCCTGCATAGCTGAGTATATTTAACCAAAGGAGTATCCCTACCTTCCGACAGTTATCTACACTTCTCCAGCTTTAGAGCTTTAGCTGCCTTGATTGATATCATTTACTAAGTTTCCATCTAAGTCTGAGGAGGGGTTTCAGAACCTCCGATCCAAAATAGGATCTCCCTCACAAACCTTTTCGTTCATTGTTCATCATTCTTTTCTATTTCGTTGAAGGTCACCATTAGTGCTCCACACATGCATGCTTTGGCACTTGAAATGTTGAAAGATAAACTACGACCTGGCTCAAAAGTACTGGATGTCGGCAGTGGAAGTGGCTATTTAACAGCTTGTTTTGCACGAATGATTCATGGAAGCAATGGTCGAGTTATTGGTATTGAACATATAAGAGAGTTGGTTGATTTATCCATTCAAAATATTAAAAAAAATGGTGGTCATCTATTAAACGATGGGACAATTAAAATAATGAAAGGTGATGGCCGACTAGGCTATCGTCGCTCTGCACCGTATGATGTTATTCATGTTGGTGCTGCTTCCAGTCAGAGACCAGATGAATTGATTCGACAATTGAAAGAAGGTGGGCGATTAATCGTACCTGTTGGTAATGAAAGCGAACAGAACATGATGCAATATGACAAACTGGCGAATGGTACTGTGTTGACAACTAAACATTTCAATGTTTTGTACGTACCATTAACAGATGAACAAAAACAATTAAATTCGTAATTTCAATAACGTTAATTAGTCGAACAAAAAAGCTAAACGAACGTTTTTCTACAGAGGGCCTATGAGTTGTGACATGGCAAAGAAACATTCATCCATAGGATTTTGGGATTTGTAGAAGATTCATGCGCACCAGAAAAAAATACTGACGGCTACGTTAGTACTACGTATGTTACAAACCCAAACCCAAGTCTGGGCTTGGGTTTGGGTATTGGGTACCCAAGTCTGAGACTTGGGTTTGGATATTGGGTCAGACTTGGGTTATTAAAAGACTCCTTTTAACTGAGATACCTTCTTTTGTTGTGGCTCTTTGAGAAAACAGGATGTAAGATGTTTATTTCGGCCTGTGGGCATACGTAATGCCTAACGCTAACGATAAGAGCTCATTTTGGATTAGTTCAAATATCCAGCAGTTGAATGTTTTATTCTATTTAACTTGTTCATATCATCCTGATTCTTGAAACAGAGAAAAATACTAAAGAAATACGCACTGATAACATGCCACACATATGTTAACAAATGATTGGTGTACACTATAAAAAATGATGTAAAAGAATACGGAAAACTAAAGAAAAAAAGTGAAGTTTTGAAAGCGAAACCACCGACGATGAAGAGAAAAAGATAAATGAATAGTATGACAGAAGAAAGTAAGGTACTACTGCTAAGTTTTATTGAAGAAGAATATTAACGTACTTTGGCAACTGACCTAAACCCAAACCCAAGTCCGAGACTTGGGTACCCAATACCCAAACCCAAGTCTTAGACTTGGGTACCCAGACCCAAACCCAATACACCCAAGTCGCTTGGGTTTGGGTTTGTAACATACCTAGTTAGTACATGTAAACCTTCCACTGTGAAGAGCACTGAGTCGTTCACTATTATCATTCCGAACAAGAAAGAAGGAGCGTAGGCAGTCGTATTGAGCAGCTACTGTCCGATCAAGTCTCTCGACAATTCCGTCCTGCTATGTACAGTCCTGCGGGACAAACCTTTTCTGTTGCCCCGAGCCCGAACATAGAAATTTTTGTCTAGTCCCGTAAGCCCGAGGCCGTGAGCAAGTAATGTTGTCCCAAACCCGTCTGTCCCATGAAAAAATTTACAGGCTCTTTTGGCCTGTATTTTTTGAAAATACTTCTGTTGTGATAATCCGTAACTATTACAAAAGAAGCTTAAAGTCTCAAACTTATTTTTGCAAAAAATCGGCATGACAAAATTTAAGCGTAATTTGCTTTATTCTAAAATTAAAAGTTCCTGTATAAAAGAATGTTTTACATTCACTCACTTACTACATCAGAATAGAAAGGAAAGAATTGTAAACCTAATTTTAGATATGGAACATCTTCTTAAGTTTAAATCCAGACTATTTCACTTCTCCAGGTTAATTTTTAGTTATTGTAAGGTTACGGTTTTGACTGGATAGTATTACGAGAATTAAACATTTGAAGTTGCAGCAGAATTACAATTAAAAGACAAAACTCACTGGACAAAATTTTTCTCGCTTGTTTCGACCCCGCGAAATTTTTTTCTTGCCTCGATCCCGTCTGTCCGACAGAACAGGACAGACAGGGTGGAATTCGGGGCTGTCGCGCAGGAGTCTCGACAGAACATATATACATCAACTGCTATATAACATACGATATTAATGACCGACCACTATATTATCTAACTACATTGAACATTTCTACTAAATCATTCACTTACAAGACAGATATTCATAACACTATCTGACTCTCATACAGTCAACTACGCTGCTACAGTCAAACCAGGCAACGTTCGGTGTGATCCTTTTCTACACGACACTCACACTTTGCCCCTTCAATAGAATACCCAACACTTGCACTGTATTTAAAGCATTATTTTATCAAGATTTCGGTCAAGCGAAGAAGTTGAACAACTCAATATAAGATAAAAATTGTCAGTCAAGAGCAAGATGAAACTCTATCTTCATTTGCTAATCGTTCACAAACTTCATGTCTCGAAATGGAACCGAATATGCCTGATAATCGATTAAAAAAGGTTTTTTTGGATCATCTTAGAAATGATATAATCAATTTTTGTGATTATGATGCATCTGTTACATTTGAGCAAACATTGGCGAGAGTGCAACAAGCAGAAACGCGCTTGGATATGTGGAGTCCAATCCAATTTGAAGTCAGAATAAGGCCAAGGTGCAGATGTTGATCGATATATTTCAACCTTGTGTTTGCAATGTACAAACGTGGTGGTGATTATATAGTACGACAAGTAAAGAACATGGCTGTGTATCTAAGAGGCATATATTAATTTTTTCTTTCTTGTAATTTGTATTGCAATATAAACGTTTTCTTTACTCTCAACAAGTGATATTATTGTTTTTCTTCTTGTGTTCGGTGACTAATTGACTAAATAGTGCATAAGCACAGCCACACACAGATACGCGTGCAGACATTACTTTTTCTACCCATTCCTTCCAGAAAAGGAAAATCCTTTTTTCATTCTCTTTTTTATTTAGTTACTTTTCACTTCATTCGACATTAGCATATAGATGTTCTGATTCGGACCGTTCTACTTTCGTTTTTCTTCTTACTGGCATTTTCATCTTTCGTTATGTTGGTTAAGAAAGAGAAGAAAGCTAAACCTGAGTAAATTCGAGGCAACAGACATAAAAAAATAAAAGAAAGTAGTGATGATCAAAATAAAGGGTATCCTGTCGGTTCATTAGTAGCCTCATTGAATCGTGAATATGATTTTGTTAAAGTTTCTCATGCTATAACACAAGCGAAATACTTGAATAAATTAGGATTTTCTGAAAATATTTAAATCATTGCTATAAAGGTATTACGAGTGTGTAGAACTTGGTCAAGAACCATTTTTATAATTGAAATCATTAACAGAAAACAAAATTTGATAAAGAAGATTTGATACAAAAAACTTGTTGAATATTTTAAAAATCCAAGATATGATACAACAGGCGAATGAAATAAATGGAATTATCTCCTGTTGTTTGTTGACGTAATAATTGTCTTTGTACACAAAGGATACCCAACTTCTACAATAAAAACGGACAAAATCAGCCAGACTAAAAAAACATGCGCATTTATTTCGATGTTAATTTGTTTTCCTCGAAGCAGATGTACAGGCGTTTTGAGAGCAAATTTACATTAGTTGCATCACCATGAGTTTTTTAGAGGCGAGCAGCAGGTTTAACAATCAGCAAGAGTATTTTTTGTTTAACTTTTTCGTTTAACTGCCAAAATGTATATTTTGGCCACTCAAGTACGCGAATGGCTTAAATCCAAGAAAGACTGGTAGTGAAAGCTGTACGCAAGCCCACTTTCTTGCTTCATTCACGTCGCCAACGTGATCCGAGCTCCGCGAGCGTTAAAGTCGCGCAACTCTTGCCGTGAGCGCTAAGAAGTCGTGGCGCGATTGCGACCAACTCTTATTACTGGAAAAAACTGTAATTCGGGATTGCGGCATGACACTTTTTTCTTATAACGGTCGCGCTCGGATCGCGTCCCGTGCAAATCCTACCCACCGCTTTGTTTTGCTTACGCGCCCGATAAATTACTGTTATTGATTTTTCGAAAAAATTTTCAAAATCTTACATCTTAACGAAGGCTTGCGATATGACTAATATAGCCTTCTGCAGTCGCATTGCGCGTAAGCCATTCGCTGCGAGTCAAAGTAGCGTGGCTCATTTACTGATATTCGACGGAAACGCGACTAAATAGTAACTATAGTAAAATACTTAAGAGCCATTGATTTTTGTATGAGCGCGAAAAAGTAGCGAGCGCCAAAAATCATATCTTATTTCGCGAGTCTTACAACAAACGCGTTACGCGACCCTACCGCGAATTTTTAAACAGACTCGCGTCACGACATGCGATAAGAAAGTGGACTTGGGTAGAGTTTGTTCGTCGAGTTTAAGTCGGTACCTTTTATTACTATTTGACTTTTGTTCTTATTTCATTCGATATTTATTTCTTTATTCTAAAAACTAGTTATAGTTACGCTTTTGGGCTACTCGTATACTGTTCTTGCTTTGTTCAGGATATCAGAGCTCTGAAGTAGTGTAAATTTTTATTCCTTTATTCATTTTTGTGTTTTGATATTTTCGAAGACAAGAAGGAAAGACAAGCCTAAGTTTCAGGATTCGATCCCTGGAATATCTTATAGATCATCAACTTAGTTTTCGCTGTCTTTTTCTATACCTTGACGACTAGTACGTCATGAAACAGTGATGTTTCACCTGCCTGCCTGATTCTATTGTGAAACGTTTTGCTCACAATAGTAGAACCGGAGAGTTTCACTAATGCCAAGAACCGATATGATTTCGTGATGTTCGACATTTACTTAACTAAAAATTAAATTATTCGTACTTAAGTTTTTGATCTGTAAACTGATTTTCCAAAGATATTCTAGAAAGCTTAGTATAAAAAGCATTTTTGAGTTTATACTTTGTTAGATAAATATGTCCTAAAATCTCTCTTCTTTTGAATAACGAATACTCGAATTCTCTAGCTCCTTTTGTTGATGATTTATCCAAAGGAGAATCGAGGATGTAATGAGGTAGTAGTTATTTTAACAGTGGCTATTATATTTTAGGTCAAATATCATATATGTAATAATGAAGTGGAAAAAGAATATACGACACCAAATTACATACAAAGTGCAAATAACACACGAACCAGAGGAGAGTCAAAACTATGTTCAACAATTATCGATGTCTAGGCCACACCATGAACAGAAATTCGATTTTCTGACGGCAAAGAATAACGCCGTTTTTTACGCATAAATCGTCCATTTTTATAACCTATCTGCCTTTTCATCATAAATGCGGTTACTATTACTCCAACACCGATTATAGCACTACCAACGATCACTAACGTCAGTCGTAGTTTGCTTGTCCTTGGATTTCCACTGGATCCTTTCGCTGTTGTTGTTAGGATGAAACACAAATGAGAAGTGTTCCGATCGCTTTCCGTTTCGCTGCCTGTTGTGCTCGTGATGTCAGACTGTGATACCATTATATTACTATGACTAGTTAACGTTGTCAAGGTTGTGGTACTAGTCGACGTGCTTGTTTGCTGAACTCCTGTAATAAATCTATTCATTATACTCCAATCACTAAATTAAATTTCTTACCGTCACATGGATTTCCCATGAGGGTTTGACCATTAAGGCAGGCACATGCGAAATATGCGTTGAGTAGAGATGTGTTTCCTTCTGCACACAAAACATCAAGTGAACCACAAAAATCTTCTCTATCACACACTCCTTTAAAAATCAACGAAATATAGTTGTAATAAAGAGCCACCATAAACAGTCACTTACTGCATGGACGATTCATCACGTAATGATCATTAGGACACGTACAAGCCACTTGCTCCTCACTAATATAGTAGCATCCATAGCCACTTGCCGCTTTAAAACGGTTATCGAGTTGACACATAATGCAAGCTAGAATACCTTATATTATTTAGGTTTGAGGACTTTCATGTTTCCAGCTATTAGAATCTTCGAAATATAGCATTCTTCTTGAAAATCGAAGACATATTAAATCTTTGTTCGATATTAATTCTTCGTTTTTCAACAACTACTTTAAGATCTTGAATAATTTTTACGAACGTCTATACAACAAGATTTTCTTAGAAAATATGTTTTAGAAGTTACATATTTAACTAAATAAACGTTTCTGACTTCTTTGGTAAATAAACCTTGATCGAATAACTCACCATCATTCCTAAACGTGTTACTTATTTGAATTGTAAAGAAACTGGCTAAGAACACAGTTAACAACATCATTCATTCTATTAGCATAATACTTTTGTTACTTTGTCCCACCTGTTTGTTAATATGCATTTCCCATAAAATAATGAAATATGAAGAAAACGTCTTTTTTTTCTCTAGTAGTTTCTTCCATGCATCTAAATCAAATAACTGATAAATTGTGAAAAATAATTTTTCAATTGTGGATTAGTAAAATAAATATTCTTACAAATATGTCAAACTATGAAGTAGGTTTATACTATATTTCATTGTTAGGTTATGTAATGTAAAATATTTTACTTTGTGGCGAACAATAGCCTTCGGTTTTCAATCTAAACACATCCTCAGCTATAGTTTTATAGCAATAAGCGATACACAATGTATTCTTTATGTCGCAGAAAACGTTTTCTTGTGAACACGGCAAATGCACAGCAAACACTTAAGAAAAAGTATTAATATTTTAACGCGACACGTTTAGAGCTCGAAACGCTTTGTTTCATCATGATTTTAAGCTTCTTCGCCACACAGACAATTATTTCTAGGATATTGAGTGAGATTCAGAAAATGACCGACTGATTATATAGATCGATGGATAATTGAGATATATACTATAGGTACTAATTGAGATATATACTATAGGTCGATCGCAAGTTTGTCTCTATTGGGACATAAATTATTTGCACTTCCGGGGTGCACATCGTCATAACAGTGTAGTACAAAGTTAGGATGCAATCGGTACAAATGAACAAGTGAAATTTCTTTTCAGCTTAAAAATTCATAAAAACCAGTGAAAGCATAATTTTTGCAATAATGACTTATAATTATAATTGTGCATTATGTTATCAAGATATTAACTGCTTATGTGGGAACCTTTCGAGGTGATAAATCGCTTTTCGAATAGGCCATAGAGAGCAATGAAACAATCCAAGTTGGTTTAAACCCATGGTGCTTTGTAGTGGTGGAGTTGGAAATATTCAAATCTTTTCAAAAAACTCAGTTTTGTCCGTGAATTTTTGATTTCTCGGCCAAAAGAAATCTAACTGAACTGATACTTCCATTGAAGCTAGTAGTCATAGTGGCCATAATGATCTGAACATTTGAGCTTTACTGCTCATCGGCTCTTCGAAATATAAAAATTTCAAAACTTTCTCATTAAATACGCGTATTAAATAGGCGACGTACACAGCTGCTCTGTGATGGAAGCTCCCACCAAGCTAATATTCTGAGTGTGGACTTATATCCTCCTACGAAAGAATACAAAGTTTGTTCTCTCTTGTAAAGTGTTTTTTCTTAAGTACTTGATAAGATAGAGCGAAAATCAACAAAGCATACGCTAAAAATGCCTTTTTGTCTACTTTCCAGTATCAACGAGTGTGGTAGTTAACAAAGGAGCGATCAAAACAGATGGCCTTTTCGCAGTAGCTGAATCGAATGAACGCAAAACAGTCAGATCCTGTTATATCACAGTGTTCCGGTTTGAACTTGAAACAAACATCGACAAACGTTCGATTGTTCAGGATGTGCATCGACATAACCACTATTAAACCAGGCACATCGAATCACAGGAACGAAACGGAGGCAGAAAATTGATCGTAAATGAGAGAGTGTAGACGGATAACATTATTTCATTCTGTCGAATGTACGTCAATCATAGACTCGACAGACAGTGACTTTGTACTGTCTATTGAAAAAGACATCGAGAGGTTGGGAGTTCCAGTCGAGGAAGATCCTTGATCTTCCCATAAATCTTTCTGTCATCTGATACACCGATATTACCACGAATGACATTGCCGCGAAGACTTGTCCATTGGAAAAGAAGAATAAATGAGCCTGGCTTCGTATTTTGTACATCATGTTTTGAAACGTGAGTTATGTGGTGAATATTTTACCTGCTCTATATATTTTTTACTTGAGAATAGTAAAAGACATTGCTGTGCTTCGGAGGGTTTCCAGAAAACCGTTCCAAAAACCAAGTATTTTTTGTTGACTTTTATGTATTCCTGCGGAATGGTTCTGGTCCGGCAGGACTGTTAATGCGAGCGTGACCAGGCTTTTTTGAAATAGTGTTGTATAGCGCATAAAAATTTCTTAGTTTCTGTGCTGGTTTGTATGTAGGCACTAGTTAAAAGAACTCATAGAAAATTCTAAAAGTTTTCAATAAATGCCACCCACACCTGACGTTCCACGAGCCACATTACGACGCACTGAGTTTCAAACTATCAGCGCTAGCTACTTTGAAAAAAGGTTTGGTCCCAGAGGCCTCTGTCGTTAAAAGGAAAACTCTGTCGTTAAGAGGAAAACAACAAACTCTGTCGTTAAGAGGAAACAACAAACAAAAATTCTGTACTAACAAACGCTAGTATTTTTAAATCGAAAATAAAACAAAATAAACTAAACAAATATAAAAGTAAAATTCATATTAATTACCTCATCAATAAATAAACACAAATCAAAATAACCAAACTACATCAACAAATGCCAATACCAATTCACAGTAAAAAGAAGCGTCCAAAAAAGCGCCCACTAGAAAACGTCCACGAAAAGTATACTAAAAAAAGCGCCGACAAAACTGAGTCCACAAAAATTTGTTCAACCATAGTATTTAAGTGCATACTGCATAGATGATTCGTTTTCCTGCACTAATTTATCTCAGAAACGACTGATTTCCAGTGATAGTGGATCGATCTAGCAGATCACGCGCTTCCAAAGTATACTGCGTTCAAAACTGAGTAAAATATTATTTGAAAATCTTTTCAAATTTTGTTTTTCCATCTAACAAAAAAACATATGAAAAAATTCGTTCAGAAAAAAAAATGTCTAGCAAAAAAGCATACCAAGATGGGACGAAAAAACCGCCCACTAAAAAGTGTCAACTTTTGGACGCTTGTTTTTTACCATGAAAAGCTCAGAATACAAACCCATAATGAATTCAAGCTTCGACTGACAAAGTTAAAATTCGGACCAACCTAGCTAAAATCATATAGCAACCCAATAGTACATGAAAACCACAAAATCCATTAGCCAAGAAAAAACACTCCTATACCCTTGCTCGTAAAATTAAAAGACGTCGCAGAATACTCACCTACTGGAACTAATAAAAAATACACGGCTAAAAACAATGTAATTAACAATTTAACAACTCTTTTAAATCGATTATTACTTAAAATCCGAAAATGCGTTCATGTAAGACATCTCAGAATGAAAATTTTTCTCCAAAAATATGCTTTCCTCTCGACATATACGAAAAATGCTGAAAATTACACAATAAAAGTCAGTTTTTTTTGCGTAACCTTCAGCATTTTTCGTACATGTCGAGAGGAAAGCATATTTTTGGAAAAAAAATGGTAATAAGAGATCCATTTGTAGCAAAAGTTTCTAAATACCGTTACAAATCATTTCTATATTAATCACAATGTGCCTGTAGGAAATGAAATCTTACATAAATTCGGAAAACAAACGCTACAGTTAATCGAACCTGAAACTATGAAGGATATCTTATTGCATGCGAGATAATCGTCAGAGGCCACAGAGACAACTTCGACTGTGAATACGTTCAAACTCGTAAATTTTTAAATGCATGTCCGCATGAATTTCTAACAAAAGAATTCAAATGGATACGGTACATTTATGAATGTTTAGCATGTTCCTGTTTTCGCCAAATGCGATATAATTTAGCAATTGAATGTTATTGTACCTTAAATAAAATTTACAGACAACTTTATTCTGATGATTTCTTTATTATTCTTCTCAACGACACAAATGGAATGAACAAGGCTGCAATTGTATGGCTACGAGAAACAATTAAATGATGGATGAATCAACAGAGTTTAAACGTCGGATATATTGAACATGTACTCACTAACCTCTACCCTTTCATGAGTGAGTTATATACAGAAATAGGAGTAGCTTCTGATCTGTCTCATATTTACTATTCACATAAATTAGCGATAATGATGTTGAGTATGGATAAGAGTCTCATATGTTCAGAAGATGTTGCAGAAGGTATATACGCCGACCTGTCAGATATGGCACCAAAAGACAATAGCGACGACCATCACCCAACTTATAAAAAACTTCTCTATTACACCGTTAGAAAACTACTGAAAAATGACAATATAAACATGAATTGTGCTGCTTATGACAAATTTCTTAGCATTTGTCATGATTGCAATCCGGAGGAGATTACATTTCCTTATATCAAAAGAACTTTCTCACGCACATATGTGGCTTTACCAGCGAGATGATGGCGAATATGCGTATTCTTACTATGAATCTATTCCAGATCGTTTTACAGAATTATCAACTCAGATTGACTATGCAAATAAAGTATCATGTTGTTATTATTATCTCGGACGTTTACTATGTGATAACAATGAAGAAAAAACATCGCATTTACATGCAGCACTCAAAAATTATCCAAAAACCGAAACTAATTCTTATGAACTAACACACTGTTATATCTTATTAGGAGGTATAAATAAAAATAAAAGTGATTTCAACGAAGCAATCCTGAATTATAAATCAGCAACTGGTTTCGGTTCCAAGTATAAAAACCAGTGCTGTATCGCACGTCTTATCTATAGCTATGGTACCGTTCGTATAATTTTACAAAAGCAAAATTTTATTGGGTCATTTAGTATATCACTAAGAGAATGCCACGAAAAATTAGAACATTTCTTTGAGAGATTTAACGGTATTTCCAATGAAGATATTTTCTATGATTATGATGTAATTGTAGATGCCTATGAACACGATGTTGATGTTAGACATCCGACACGCGATTCAACTAAATATCTGGATTATCAATCAGCTACAAACTCAGATTATGATAAATGGACGTGGGTCATTAGGGCCCTTTTCTGGCCCAAAACATTTTCGGCTTTTTGGCATTGAAATGATGTCAGGGCATGCCCAGGAACATTTCCAGATAGTGTTTTTCGCGAAATCTCTCGACCGGGTTTTCGAGGACTGAGGTCCCCCTCAGGGTTTTCGAAAAACTTTTCATTTTTGATTTTTCTCAAACATGTCTAGATATATGTAATCGATCATGCTGATCCCGAATACCGATGTTAGAATTCATGAAAAAGTTTTGTTCGGTCAGAATCTCGGAATTACAGGTTTTCACCAAAAACCTCAAAAATTCAGAACTAAATCCATTTCTTCACAAAAGTATTTTTTAAACCTTAATAAAAGCACACCGATCGATGCAGAATTTTTTGCTGCATCCACTGACGTTATCACTTTTGAATTAGAAGACTCTAGTAAAAACTTACGGATATTATACTGTGTAAACCGTGGTTTTCAAAGCAGTTCTGACCCTGAATGATGAGGAAGGAAATCTTGACGCAACTCGAAACTTCGTCAGTGTACGTAACTTTCCAAGAGCTATCCAGTGGTGACATCAAAAACTGAGAAAACGTTGTGTAAAGTAGTTGAAATCCAAGAATACTGCTATTTTAGTGATTTTTTTCGTCGTTTTTTCGAATATCCGTTCACATATTGCTTCTGTAACACAGAGATGTCATAATACGAATATGTTATGTACTGAAAATCACGAGTACAAACACCAGTACTATGCGTATTAATAGGTCTTTTTCGTGTGACTCGTAAGGGTACCTATGGGGTACATATACTGTTGAGAGCTGTGAGAAGTGGAGAATTGTAAGAATACACATCTCCTTACATATAGTATTATCGAGAACTGGAAAACCGGAGAACTGTAAGAATACATATCTCATTACATATAGTATTATTGAGAACTGGAGAACTGGAGAACTGGAAAACTGTAAGAATACATATCTCATTACATATAGTATTATTGAGAACTGGAGAACTGTGAGAACTGGAGAACTGTGAGAACTGGAGAACTGGAGAACTGTAAGAATACATATCTCATTACATATAATCCCATCGTGAGTGTGGACAATCACTGAACTTTTCGCCTTTCTCGGATACTTCAAAATTCACTTCTGTTTTTGTAAGTCCGTTACGCTGGACATTTCGTGTCCCCTGGCTCAGCGGTCCAACGAAATCTATTCTTTTGTTCAACGTTGGTAGATCTTAGTGTCTTATACAATTCTGTAGTAGAAACAAGCTCCCAAGTTCTTTTGCGGTTGAAGACAACGTCACGGATTGTAATAAGGGTAAGTCCACATTTGGAATGGCCGTAGAGAACTGGAGAACTGTGATAATATGTATCTCATTACATATACTATTATTGAGAACTGGAGAACTGTGAGGGTACGTATTGAAGAGACATACTGTTGAAAACCGGGGAAGGTTGGTCGATCACGTTTGTTATGATGGTAGGGTGAAGATTCTATTCTTTTTATTATGAAAATAAAAGATACAATATTCGATCTGTCTGCTCGTTTGGTTGCTGTTTGCTTTTCCTAAGTATAGGTTCTATAAAGCGACAAATTGAGTTTGTCACAATTTAGTTGATTAAATAACAAGAGAGAAAAGACTTTGCTTTTGGGCGATGAGTAAGAAGAAAAAGCGTTTTGATACTGTTTTAGTTTTGAGTTTTGTTGTTCACACGTTTGTGTGTTAATTTTGCATACATCCGGATATGTATATGGATTACATTTTGTTTTACATGTATCTCTTTTATGATTTGATATATGAAACTTATCCACCACAAATATCATATTCGCTAACGTTAAACTTGCGGGTGTTTGTATAATTTTACCATTGCCCATACGTGTGTTCAGGGTAAGTAATAAACCACAAGCATTGTCGTAAATGAGATACGGTGGGACAGATACTGATGGTGACCAATGTTTAATTGTTTCGAAAAGATGATACAACACTCTCAATGGAGATTCTGATCTATATAATTCGTGATAACTGATGATTATGCCACAATTAAACATTGATAATATTATTCCATAGGATGTTTTTCGACTGGAATAACGATCTTCCCTGGCTATATTACAATCAACATCTTGATAATCATT